ATAGTCTTTGCTCAGTTTGGTTTCCATTCTAAAAACTATGCATTTTATTTTTGAAATTTTTATGTATCTCTTCCAGGTCAAAATAGACCCGAATACATTAACTGAGTTAAAGTGTATATAAAAGGTTTTTGTCTTTCCTGGCAGGAGGACGTGTTGGTGGTGACGTTCTTTGTGACACAGGAACACGGTCTCCTCCTGCAGGACTCGCAGCCTAAACCTGCTACGCTGCTCTCTCTACTGGCTTTAGATACACCGTATTACTATTATATTTGCAAGGTACAGACACACAAGATACAGACACCTTCATTCCCCTTTCTCCATGCTTCTCTGTCAATCTGTATGCATCTCTATTTCTCACCCCTTTAATTTTTCTATATTTTTTGCATGCATCGTTTTATTTTTCTCATTCTGATTTTATTCTGATTGTCCTGTCACTGCTAAGCTCTTATTTCGGAGGGGAGGCCTCGTTCTCCCTGATGTGAGTACCTCACAATTACCCAGCGGTCATTTGGGAGAAGAATCATCACACATCACTCTTTCTTTCATCATTCATATTTTTGAATTTGTTTCAATAATCTACATAGAGTGTTTGCATTTTGATAAAGGTGTATCGTTAATAAATGTTTCTCTCTGTCCTCTCAGCTGGGTGAGGGTGGAGATCAGGTGGTCTCGACTCCCGCCGCTGCGCCCCAGGTGCCTTCGTCCCCTCAGATGGTAGTACGACGAGCCCTCCGAGACTTTGTGGGGTTGGAGAGCTGCGAGAAGCAGACCCGAGATGCCATGCTGAACTTTAGCTTCTACCTCACTATAGGGGACATGGATGAAGCATTTAAAGCCATCAAACTCATCAAGAGGTACATGCACAAAGACGCCGGTTCAACACTCATGCACTCGCATCTTACCAGAGTGATGATGTTCATAATAAGTAAATGTGCAAGTAATAAATCAGACTGGTAGAACATTTGAAAGTGATTTTAAGGCCACTTTTTGCATTCATCTGCACTGCTTTTTAGTAGTTTTTCTATTTAAGCAGGCGCTAGATGGTCGTCTTTCACAGCTGTGGCGCTGTGTCTTGCTGCTTTTTCAGCATCTTGTGTATGATTACTGCATTTTTAGGCACTGTGTCAGGTTAAAAGCAATTTTTACCTGTGAATGGCCCCTTCAGATGTCGACACTTTTTTTCCGTGCTTGCGTATCAAAGACTAGATAAGTGTGTTCTTCAGTATATGAGATTATAGTATCACATACCGTATTGACCCGAATATAAGACGATGTTTTTTTCTTG